CAAAGATTTTGTTTGAGAAAATTCTGATCAACATCCACATGAGTCACATTATTTTGGTCAAACATTCATATCCTACCCAGCCAAACATAGCCGAGGTTCTGCAATATGTGCCCCAACAGATTACATTGGCCAAATTTTGATATCATTTATGTTGTATTTGGAAGAAAGAGGTCTACGAACATGACCTAAAATGTTTAAGCCCAAGTTACTTAGTAGCAAGTTAGTGCTGCCTTCTATCCCCAGATCACCCATGCAAATTTTCGATATGGAACAGGATTGTTGCAACAATAGTGCAATAGGCTCCCCGAGTTCATATTAGTTTTTAATGATCCTCTACGTATATGTAAACAAACACGTTGATACAAATAAATATAGATAACTTAAGAAGTGCTCATATAATATTGAAGTTTCATGATTAGAACTCACAGGAAGGAGCATGAGAAAGCCAATAGGAACTACAGATGCTAAATCAGTTAAAGTTCTTTGAGAACTTTCTTTTCTTTCTGTGTCAATTCATCTCCTATTAGGAACCTTCTAAGCAGCCCCATAGCTGCAGCAACATCGATAGCGAGAAGCTGAGTCCCTTGCCAAACATCCTGCTTATAAATAACAAGATGACCATCAATTTAAAGCATCAGTTTCAAAACAGAAAACACTTTCAACAGGAAGAACAGATTTATTATTTTCATGAGTTGTTGAATCACTTCCCAACATTGAATCCATACACCACAGAGCATTCAAGAATAAATAATTCACATTCACTATCAGTGAAAAATAAGAAAAAAAATTACTTTTTTTTTACCACAATGCATAAAACTAATTCACATTCACCACACTGCATTTGCATTCATGTGCAGTTTGTGCATGTGCTTAAATCCAGTGGGGAGTCTGGATAATTTTTTTTCCTTTTTTTCCAAGACTAGTTATGATAACCACCACTAACAAATAATGGGCAGTCAACTTTATCTCAATTGCCCCGTGGCATGTGGGCCACCTTAGTCTCCTAATAGAGATGTGGCTAACAAAAAGGCATAGTGTCATCCATTAAATCATAGGTAAACATGAAAATTTTTTGTAACTTGTACATATATTATATATCATATGTTTAACGGAGTCCAACAACATTTTATGAATTCACTGCCACATAACTGCATCATTTGTTATAATTCCTGAAACAAAAATCGTATACCCTTCCCATACTTTGATATCATCACTGTAACAATCAATCACCATACTTCTACTCTTCAAACACCTCATCTAGATCCAGTATTTATAAGAAGTTAATTGACCCACGAAAAGCTTTGATTTTGGGTTCATATATTGGGTAGACTGACCCAACCTGTCACAAGTGGACTGCTCAAACCAGCAGGTAAGGTGTTGGACTAGAAAAAAATCCCCAAAATATGGAATTGAGAAATGGGCAATTAAGTTACGTGGACTCGGGTACAGGTGTCAGGCATGTATCTACAGGTTGGACACATCACTTTAAATTTAAGTATACATGGACTTGGCAAAAAAATATTATATTTTCTATAATTTTAATTTATTACGTTGGATAAAATGATGTTATATATAACATATAGTATCAAAAAGGCATTTTAATCATTTTATAGCAATTATACATAGTAACGATAGTGTAACATATATTCCTTACCCTTGTCCAAGTGTCGGCTGTCCGACATAGGTATTTGATTTATTTTGAAACGTCCATGTAAGAAAGCCAGGCAACATATGTATGCATTATGACTTTACTTCATTTGATAGATAAAACTATATTAATCAACAGATCAAATAGTTTCAATCAACAGACCAGACGGTCTCAAACAGGGACATCATCTCACTCAAACACATCAGGTGGAGCGCTCCAGCTCATCAATGTGATACATATACATGAAACATCAAAAAAGGCTACCATATAACTAAATAATCTACCTCTAACTAATAGAGTGGTAAGATATTGATACCGTGCCGGTGTCTTTAAGCTTATCCAATGACTTCCCAATTATGTTTTCTTTCTTCTGAACAGGGACTAATTGACTACCTTCAGCTTCGTCAGTATAGGTGGCAGTATCAGCTGTCATTTTAATTTCCTCCTGAAAGAAATGCATTAAAAAATCGATGTAACTAGATAATAAGCCAAGTGCAATCTCAATAAGAAAGAAAGCAACTTTACAATGATGAAATCTACATGCATCATTTAGAGAGATTTACCAAGCGGTGCAGAATCTTAGGGCTGGGCTTGTTTCTTTAGGAAATAAATCATCTCAAGACCAAACTTAAAGCTCGTTTAATATATGAGCAACTGAGCAGGTCTGGCATCGACTCCTCAAGGACCGTAAATAGGAACAGTTAACGTGGTAATTTTATTCTTGTCCAAGGCATATATGCTAATTTGGTCGGTGTCATCCTATGTAAAATAATTCACGGAAAGTAAAATGAGCCCAGTATACTTTCACATTCTGACCTTTCTTACTTTGCCACATTTAATTAGAAAGGATTCATGGAAATCTAATGACTGTGATCAACCCATCTTATAGATTGGTATCTTTTCTGTGCCTTCAGCCCATCACCTTTAATTTACTCCAACTTCTTGTGGCTTGTAAGATTAATCATCTCTGAAGATGAAGGAAGACAAACGATCAGTAAACTGAACTTCTTGTCTGATGTGCTGCACATGTTACTCCTATTTAGACCACCAATAAAATGCAATGGAAACACTTCATTTGGGTGCACTGGAAGATTGACCTTCATTAAACAAATTATGGGGCACCCAGATGAACTAACATATTACATGCTTTAGGACCTTTCCCTGCCATTTTATCTAAGTACCATAACCAGTTTGCAAATTTTTTGTTCTCCAAGCTGGGGTAGTTACCAAATTCAGATTCCTTAATTTTTTTCTAAGTTATAAACAATTGCAGAAGTCACTCTGTAAGCAATTGGGATTCAACAGGGAGATCAAATGCAAACTAAGGTTCAGTGTAGTTGGATAATATAAATCACTCGCCTAATGAATTGATAGTGTATTTATTTTTCCAGTCTAGAAATAATTGTTTTGGGCTATCGGTGGAGGGTAGTCGTGATTTTTGTAGATATTGCATGTGGATTAGGAATAACTGGAACTAATCACATTGGTTAAGTCATAAATTTAGACTATTGAATTAATACAGAAATTACATGTATTGATTGAGCATTGCATATGCATATTGTTTGGGAGGAGCTAGGGGATGTACTCCACGGTTTAGGGGAAGATAGGGGATGGACCTCTAAACCGGATTATTGTTTGGGAGGAGATAGGGGATGTACTCCACGGTTTAGGGGAAGATAGGGGATGGACCTCTAAACCGGATTATTGTTTGGGAGGAGATAGGGGATGTACTCCACGGTTTAGGGGAAGATAGGGGATGGACCTCTAAACCGGATTATTGTTTGGGAGGAGATAGGGGATGTACTCCACGGTTTAGGGGAAGATAGGGGATGGACCTCTAAGCCGGATTTTTGTTTGGGAGGAGATAGGGGATGGACTCCATTAGCACCATTTTTATGTGTGCTTATTATATTGAAGTGTTTTTACATGATTATTGATACAGCACTAAAATGTGTATCAAATGGGAAGTATGAAGTGTTTTGATATGAGCCTGAGTCTCATTTGTTTGTTTGATATTGGAAGTAATGTGAATATAACATATATAGTTCACTGTGGTAAGTTTGGCCAGGTTCTGAGCCATATTGATAATAAAGAAAAGTGAAACGTGTCATTGACATTAGTGTCATGAAACTGTATAATGATGTAATTGATTATCTTGGTTAACCATCTATTGAATGCTATAGTTTTATTCAATGCTTATATTTGGTTTAGTATTTTTCTACTGGGCTGTGGCTCACCCTTTATGGGAACATCATTTTCAGGTTCAGGTGATAAGCTACCTCCACGGACTTAGCCTGGAAGGATTTGATGTTTGGGATTTGAAGACTTGTCTTTAGTTATAGGTTTTATTTTGTTATTTTGATATTTCATGTAAACATTCAAGCCTAGGGCTTAACTTGTAATTGAGTTAGTACTCATCCTTTTTGTGTCCAAGTGTTAGCTTGGAAAGATGTAAGCCCTTAGGGCATTTATTTTGATGTTGCAGGATGTTACATGTGATGTCTTTCAATAAGAATACTCTGATGAATAACCCAAATGATTCGTTTTCTTTTATAAATGCATGTTAATGTTATAGTTATTATGGGTTTATTTGAGGGCGTCACACTCATTTTCATAGCCATGCATTTGCCAAGTCATATTTTCCTACCAAATAAAAGCTAATCGACCAATATGATCAATACACTTGGGGTATGTTTGATCCCATGAATTTGTATATGCTAGCAATTGATATTTGGAATCAATTTATAACTTTTTATCTATGGAGGAGACAACAAACGAAGATTCTTACATACCCACACCAACACCCCTCACCTACCCACACACATTAGCTTTAAACACGATATGTTAGATTCTGTAAGTTCAACAATTCTAAAAACTTTACAAGTTTGTAATAATGGGAAAACAAATGAATTGTCATACAGGCATCTCTATATTAATTGTATTGTCATTAATGTTGCCTTAAAACATAAGTTTCAAGTGTAAATTGGAAGTTGCACCACAATGATGCAATATTAACATATGGGCATGTATATATCTATATAGTTCCCTATGCATTTTAGATTTCCATTACTTTACTATTGATTTAGATTAAGTACATTACAAACTTCAATGGTAACATATTGTGGTGTGTGTGCATGTGAGACACAAAGAAAGAGAGATCAGGTCAAGGCCTCATTCAACTTACTTTCGTATCCCAAGTTCATCCATGCACTCCATCAATTTGTTGTGCCTAAAACAGTAAACATATAGACAACACTGTTTAGATGATTATAAGAAATGCAGTGCAGCCCATTAACTTTAATCAATCAGGTATTATAAGTTTATATACCCTCTAGAAAGAAACCTTGTCGCCTTAACATTAGAAGGGTTCTCCAGCCATTTACTATACTTAATAAAGCTCTGAATCCAATGAGAGCAAACATCTAATGCTTGGGGGATGGCTTCAGGATTTGGATGACCTTCTTGTTTACTTTTATGGCCATGCAAGCGTTTCGAAGTGCTAGTAATGCCCGGATAAAAAGGAAGCCACTCCAGCTCTTCACAGACTACCTATCATATGAATGTACTAATCAGATTTAAACCACAATATCTTGTTATATGATTTTCAGAGACACTAACCTCCACATACAGTTGATAAGAACTTATTGAGGAAAGCTGAGGATAGTATAACACACTGCCCCCAATAAGGTATCTGCTTTAAAGAGAGAAGAAAATTTTGCATCATTGAATTGTAGTGAAGAATACTAATCAAGCTAATCGAAAATTAAATATCAAAACTTATACCTTAAGAAGCCCTCAATAGGTTCATCTATAACATCAAAACCATTTGCAGATAGAAAGGATTGTGTGCTTCTCCCTAAGGCAATGAAGAATCCAAATATAGCCAAATCTCTCTCCAACACCTGAAATATACCAGCATTGACTTTTAGAAAACATCTCGGACATGATCAAAACATTGCAAGAACTTGCATGAGAAATTTTTTTAATAAAATATACAATTAAGCAAAATATTTTAATCTCTTGTACAGCTAATATGATCACATGTTCCATAGTGCTCCTATAAAATTCTCATTTCTAGAAACTAAACCTACCCCAGCATTAAGATGATAATTGCACAATAGCTAAATAGATAAAAGGAATAAACATGCACCATTTCCAAATCTACCGCTAGAAATAAGACATATCTTCATTCTTCATTTATTCTTATTTCCATATTATGCCAACACTATGTTATAAAACATACAGACTTCTCAAAATCATTTTTTTTATAATGATCATATTAGGAACTTTACTAGTGTGGTTTCAGCAGCAATTTCTCCATCTAAATTAATTTTTTATTTACAAATGGAGCTTCAGAATAAATTGCCAAGAGCTCTTTTTAGTTTTCGCAGTGTTCTGTCATAGTCAAATTCTATAATCTCAGGGCTATTCAGTCTGGCAAAAATTAGATAAAATTTTTGTGAAAATGATAACTGCATGAATACAACCCCTGAATATATCTCCACCAACCAACCACAAGAAGATGCCCAGCTGAAAAACAGCATACAAAGAAGACTAGGGTAAAGTATTAATTTCACACAGGGCTTACTTAGGACCTTGTGTAATCAAGTTTAGCATTTTAGTCTTATTCTGCATTATATACTTACATCTGCTAGACAGACTTGATTTTCATTATATTAAGTTTTAGAAATCAACGAAATTTTATTAATATCAAAATTTGCTAAACATATGACAGAGAGAGTATGTGCTTCTTGGTTTAATAGGTATATATGCCAACTATTTTGGGTCAAGAATAGTTTTATTAGTCAAAAATTCGAAGTATTCTATTAATTTGTTTCAATCCTATAGTAGATTTAGAACTTTGGAAACTAATAAGTATCTATGTAATCTTTCCATCCAAAAAACAAGTTTGAGATTGTGATTGTGTGATTTGGCTTATCCCTCTTCTTGTAATATGTAACATGGTATATCTTTACCTGAGATAAATTTTTCTCATGCTAAATTATTTTTCTTTCATAGTTAAAACGGGCACAAGCCTGATGCCTCATGTTCAAGGCACCTCACACATTTCGAGGTCTTACACCTTAGAACAGTTGCTCTAGTCTCTAAGACTACAAAGCATAGCTACATGGTCCCTTAATAAACTCTCAATCGATGAAACACCTCTTCAGAGGTAAAATTCCTACACGTTATATTTAATTGCACATGCTGAAAAAAAAAATAAAAAAATAAAAAATAAAAACCTCAGTGCTGACCTCAATGCTTTCACATGTTGTGAGTCTCGACCACATTCTCTCCCTATCTATAGCTCGCTGCAGCTGCTTCTGTACTAGACTCACCCAGAATACAACCTCTTCCATTTCCCGATCATTTTTCACTCTACATGCTGCAGCTCGAGGACCAAAATGGACAAGAAATTCTCTACGTAGACCAATATCCTTTATAGAACGATAAGCCTGGCGTATAGGAATGAAATTAACCAGCATTTCCATCAATCTACCAGTTAAGTCAGGTATCATGGAGAAGAACTGTGAGCAGGAAATTTTTGTTGGGCCAAGCTTTGCAATTGCTGCAATGCAACTCAAGGCAAGCACGAGGAGTGATATGTCATTTGCATTGCCTGATGGCCCTGAACAGAAGGGCATTCCTTGGCCAGACCTGGTAAAGAAATGAATCGCGTCATTAATTAAAGTAATTTCAGATTCATCAAGCATTCTATAGGCCTTAATGTTCAAAAACATGAGGTGACTACATACACAGCAGTGGCAGCAGTAAAGCGTGGGTTGCTTTCAAAATAATCAATGAAAGTGGTCACCACTGCAGGGACTTGATCAGACCAAAACCATTCATAAGCTTCAGGTTGCTTGGTTGATAATTTCTCTCTTATTACGCTCTCCAGAGGACCAGATTGCCGTAGCAAACTACAGTAATGCAACAGCAGTTAACCAACACCAAAAAGCCCATATCAAGGGGTAGTAATAATTAAAGTGAAGTATGAAAACAAGTCAACCAGAGAAATAAGTGAGAACGGTTTACAGCAAATAATTCACAAGTCTTCATGGCCAAAACCCCAAAATTAAGATGACAAAAAAATTCACAATACCAAATTTATAGAAAATATAGATATTTAAATAAACAAAAATGAATATGGCCTGCTAACTATTAGAAACAAAGCTCATAAAAATCAAATCTTGCACATGGAAACTAAAACTAGCTGCAGCAAACCATAGATCCAAACATACAATAGAAGATAATTTGAGCTCCTTGGCTTCAACAGTAGACTACAATAATGAGATCTAATAAGTTTTGCGCAAATCAGAAAACCAGCTACATTGATCCATGCCGTTACAATTAAAATAAAAGAGATTTTGTACCTCCTTTGAACAAAAATATTAATATCTCTGTCTCTTCCATCTCCTCGAGATGAAATCTCACTTGCTGCTTGCAGTAGGGCATACACAGAAGCCTGAAGAAAATCTTTCAACAACGTAAACAAAGTTTGGCATATAAATAAATAAAAAAGAAAAATAAAGAGAAATGTTGAAGAACTGATTAGTCATAAACCCTACCCAAAACAAAAAATGGTATAAATGAGTGAAGATTCACAATCCAAGGCACTCTTCACCAAATCATAAATAAAAGTTATAGATGAGATTTAACTAGCTTATGGATGTGTATCAAGAAGAAATTTCAGCACTGAAAACAGAAAAATACGTTACTAAACTATTCTATACAAGAAAAAAGGCACTAAGGCTGCGTTGGAAGAGACTATGCAAGATTAGATATATCTCAACTCATTGTCATTCTCTCTATATGTTATATGGACTCTTCTAAATTGAAAAGCCCAACGCACACTTCTCCTTAAAACCCAGGTATTAAGGAGAGAAAAACTGGAGCCTTATAACCAGTACAGATAGGGCAACTTCAGATGATGTGGGACACATGCCAACACACCCTCCTAGACCATAACATACAGTAGCTGAACAAACAGCACACCAGTCACAGGCCCAACCAAGCTCTAATACCAAATTGAAAAGCCCAACCCACACTTCTCCTTAAAACTCAAGTATTAACGAGAAGAAAACTAGAGCCTTATAATCAGCACAGATAGGGCAGCTCTAAGCGATGTGGGACACATTCTAACATATAATTGAAAAGGCTAGCCCACATTTCTCCTCAATTAAGGAGAGGAAAATTGGAGTCTTATAACCAAAACAAATAGGGCAACTCCAGGTGATGTGGGACACATTCCAACACACCTTCCTAGATCACAACATAAAATAGCCTGACAAACGGCACACCAGTCACAGGCCCAACTAAGCTCTAATACCAAATTGAAAAACTCAACCCACGCTTTTCCTTAAAGTCTAGGTATTAAGGAAAGGAAAACTGGAGCCTTATAACCAGCACAAATGGGGTAACTTTAGGCGATGAGGGACACATTCCATCATTCTATTTATGTGAAGTAACCATTTCAGACACTCAATAGAGTCACCAGACATGAGTATGGAACATGTGTCCAAAGTTCCTATAATTGAGTAAAAGTACCCATGTTAAATGATGAGTTCCTAAAAGTGCATATTTATGTTGATTTGTATAGATGATGTTGCACTCCTTTAATATTAATTCCTTTCATCAATGTTTAATTGTGTGCTAAAGCTTGAATTTTAATTGTACAGATGAACTGGGTGATTAAGGTGGAGTAATATCTATGAAGCCCGGACACGCCTCCCAAAGCTGCGTATCAGAGTCCGACACGTGTCGGACACCGACATGCGTTCGACACGTAGTAGACACGTATCCGACACGCCGTCTGACGTGTCCCCTTTTTTCCTTTTTTCTTTTTTCTTTTTTCTTTTTTCTTTTTTCATCTCAGACACGTCCGGACACTTCATCGACACATTCGAGACACGCCTAAAGCTTTTCGAAACCCTAGCCTCAGAGAGAGAAAGGAGAAAGAGTAGTCCCTGAATCGAAGCTCCATAGCCTCTGTTCAGAGACATACTTGAGACGAGATCCATCTGCAACACAGGGATGAGAGAGAGAAGAAAACAAAGCTTCTACTATGATGAAAGCAGAAACATCTTGTTGTAACACACAGAGAGAGAGAGAGCGAGAGAGAGAGAGAGGTAGAGAAGAGAAGACCAAGCTTCCTTTCACATCTGGATCTGGACTACTTTCTTTTCTTCTTGTTGTAACCATTGTAACCAATGTTTGTTTACTCCAAGAAAAGAGTTAATGCTATCATTCAAAAGGTCACCTACCAACCATTTCACCTACTAGTCAAATGGTCAAAACAGCTAAGCATCCACCGACCAATTAAATGGTCAAAATAACTATTTCAAAATATGTATATTTATATTTTTTTAATATTGATGATTGTGTGCCATGCCATGCGAGTAAACGTGATTTTATAATGTTTAAATTTTAAGTAAATGTTAAATTATATATTTTTTTTCATAATTTTAAAAAAATATTTATATATATGAGGTATATTATATAAATAAATAAATATATATATATATATATATATTTTTAACGTGTCCTTAGCGTGTCATGTCCCTCATTTTTTGAAAATTAATGTGTTGGTGTGTCCGTGTCGTGTCACGTATCCGTGTCCGTGTCCGCATCCGTGCTACATAAAGTAATATCCATTGGCATAGGATGGACAATAAAAACACTTACAAATATGAGATAACCTATCTTACATTTACTCTTCTAAATGTATGAAGTACCCATTTCAGACACTCAACATTTGGGTAAGGGTTTGGGATATGCATCCGACATGCGTAGTTAGACATTTACCTAGCAAGTATATTTAGTGATGCAAGTTTAACATAAAACTAAGCATAAAACTCCCATATTATGCATGAAATTCTCCATGACACCTTGTAAGCATCATTTTACGCTAGAAATTTTTACTTTCATTTTTTAAAAAAAATACAGTGAGAAATATGAATATTTTCCACATCCCCGTATCTTGAACATAGCAATTAAATGAATCAGACAATTAGATGCATACCCACACCCACACACGACACTCGTACCCAAATCCATGTAACATAAGAGATAACTCATAACAATGTTTTAGAGATGCATTTTATGCATTTCTAAAATATAGACAATTAAGATATATACAACATCCATAATAATGCTCAATAGCTCCAAAAACAATTTTAATGACAAACCTGATAAGATAGTGCCTTCACCCATGTATTTTTGTCTACACCAAACCATGCGGTTGAGAACCAGGATAGTTTCCATGATGAGCTTTGTTCTTTAATTGCTAATTCAAACACTCTGGCTGCATCATGTAGTGATTGGACAAGATCATCGCTATAATCTTTAATTTGCAGTGATTGATCAAGTTTGACCCTTATTTCATCAACATCATTGCTACTATTTGCATGGGGACTCCCGTTGACAGTAACACCGTCATCAGCAGAAGCAAAGCGAAAGAGCTGCCCCGTCCTTGATTTACAAAAGGTCAAACTATTTTTCCTAAAATCAACCAATCTGCAGCTTAGGTTCAAATTACAATCAGCTAATAAAGCAAGCTTTATATGGCGTTTTTTCCTTGAATAACCCCAGTTGAATAGAAGGTCATCCAAGATAACCACCTTTTTGTTGGAAAAACAGGATCTAATTGGTTTTTGTGAGACCAATGCATTCGAAGACCTGAAAATACAAAGTTCAAGAATAAGCTCCAACTAAGCAGATATATGAATATTTTATCACACCAGGTCAATTTCAGGGTTGTAGACAATTGGTAATCTACAGGCATGATTTGCTACTTATTGGGTAGTCTGGTTTCACCATTTTAGCCGGTCAGTACAGTAATATTGACTTGGGATCATTAAAACAGATATTTGTCGGTAGTTACAAATCTTGTTTATTTACATTCATATATCTGATAATAATGCAGTATTCTTCTTCATAGATAAAACTTCCACCATTTGTTATGTACTTTTTTTTATCTTTTTCTTAAATTAAAATGACATAATACAACTTGTAAGCATTGTTTTGAAAACCGGACCGGTGAGCGAACCGGAAAAGGGACCGGGTGGATGGGTCACTGGTTCAACCGTCGGGTCGAAGCGGTCGAACCGTGACGTCATAATTAATATTATATAATTAAAATTATAATTATAAATTATAAATAAATAAAAATATATATAATTACTGAAATAATAAAAAAAAGTGTTGCATAATATTTACTAATAATATTTAATAAAGTCATAATTGTTAAAAAAAAGTCACTAGTTTTAAAGAAATTAAAAAAATTTAACATTCCCTCCAAACAAATTGATTGAATGCTAGATTTAATTTTGGAGGGAAATAAAATTTTCAACTTTCCCTCCAATCAAATATGATTCAAACAATTTGATTGAATCCCACATTCAATTTTTAGGTTCTCTTTGAACAATTGTTTTCCTATAAATAGGAATAGACTTTCATTATTTCTTCAAGCTTCCAATGAGACTCCTCCTCATGAGAGGAGACTCTTGAAGTAAGAATTTTTAGTCAAAATTTTGATTATATATATATATATATATAAATATATAAGAAAGAAAGAAAAGAAAGAAAAAAAAAAGAAAACCGAAAAAAAAAAAAAAAAATCAACCGGGTTGGTCCACCGAACCGGCGCCGGTTCACCGGTTTTCCCGGTTGGACCACCGGTTATTCCGGTTTTCACTAATAACACCGGTTTTTGGCCAACCCCGGGTCTTGAGGGTTTTCCGGACCGGAGAGGGGACCGGTTCCCGGTTCCACCGGTTCGACCGGCCGGGCCGGTCCGGGTCTGAAAACCATGCTTGTAAGAGTGTCTAGTACAAAAATAACCAATACCTATGCATGATTTGTTGTTGTTTTGGTGATCAAAAGATTTTTAATAGGACAATCAGACCCAACAAATTTTTACTTTTTCTCTTTTTTCTTCAAACGAATGTCATAATACATCTCTTAAAGTATATTTAAAGTAAAAATAACTTGCACCCATGAATTATTTATTACTATTTTAGTGAAATAAATATGGTTCAATATTACATGGGTCAAGCCAATCAGCTCCGATGGTTCCACAACTATTTTTTTTTTTTTTTTAACAATAAGCATAAAAAAATTTAAATTAAAGTGTTTTAAGTTTTGAAATAAAAGATTCCATTTAATTCTTTCTTCTTATTATACTCTATAGCCTATATAGGATTCTTAGGTCCATTTTTTAAGTGTCAAGAGAGATTACATTATAATTTTTGAATAATTTTATGCTTTGTGGGATTTGGGTACGCATCATGAATACAGATGTAATATGCTGTAATTTATGTAGAAATGTACTTAAAATTAAATAAGATTTAGGAAGAATATAGATTTAATCTCTTATCCATGTCAGTATATATCTATCAAAAGAAGGGAAATTATTATAAAACAGCTGGAATACTAATCATGCCTTATTAACCAAAATGAGGGCACTTAAGAAGTAAAATATTATTAAAACAAATATCTCAAAAATGAATAAGTCAGTATGAATGCATTGCAAGTGAAGAAAATGACAATAAGAGGCATGAAAAAACACAGGATTGGTATGTCAGGTAGAGCACCAAGTATGGGCATTGCACAAATCAATAACCCACACAGTAGTGGGCATAGAGGTGGCAAGCCGAGGCCACCCCCCAAACTTTTGAAAGATCTCAGTTTTACCATGCAATTTTGAATATTTATAAAAGAGTATTACATTTTGGCCTCTTCAAAATTTATATAATTATACTGCAGTCCATCCAAAATCTAAATAATTTAACTTTTGCTCCCCAAAATTTTGAAACTTTTCATCATTTTCATGCAATTTCCAGGATTTAGTATTTTGGCCACCCGAAACCTTTGAAAAATCTCACTATTTCATGAAATCGTGAGTATTTATAAAATAAATTAGTCTTCCAGAGAACAAAATCTATATAATTTTACTTCAATTCTTCTAAAATCTACATTATTTTACATTAGCCCACAACTACACTTGTCAGTTTAAATTCAAACAGTTCCTAACATCAATCATCAAACACACCATAAATCAAAAATCAGAAAAACAAACAATCCTATTAATACCACCACAAACAAGATTATACCAAAAATATCAAAATTTAACACGACTAATTCCACAAAAGCTACTAAGAACCCTAGCTTACTCAGCAACCAAAAAAAAAATTGAAATTGAAATGTGAGAGAGAGAGAGAGAGAGAGAGAGAGAGAGAGAATTGGCTATGACCTTGAGGAAGCGAGGCTGTGATGATTCAACTTGAGAGACATTGAGAAGAGAGAAAATGAGTGAAAAAATTTGAGGCGTTTGGCAAGAAAACCATGCGAATTGGGGGAAATGATGATACGGGAAAATTGTCAAGACACGGGCGAGGAGGTAAGAGAAAGCAGAGGCAGCCGTGGCAATGAGGGTTTATCCGTAGACGTGGAGGAACGATCCCAACATATAAGCCGTCTTCCCAATTAGCTTCTTTTTTTCCAAAAAATTTAAAAAAATAATAATCCATTTTTCCAGCAATCTCTGCACAGAAAATGTTTGAGGGCCCGAATCTGCTTGGTTCGAATGTTCCGAATGCTCAAAATGATGTCGTTTTGGGCATTTTGTTTTTTTTTTTTTCTTTTTTTCCGCCATTTTCGATCTCTGCAATGCAGAGGAAGAGGGAGAGAAAGAGAGAGAGAGGTCGCGTCGCCTGCGTCGATTGCCGCCGATCGCGTCGCCTCCGCCGATCGCGTCGGCCACCGCCGATCGCATCTGCCTCGCCTCAGCCCCTCCTCCTCCATTTTTTAGGTCCCTTCCAGTCCTTCCTCCCCCTCCCCCTCCTTCCCTTCTTCTTTTTCCTCCTTCTTCTCAAATTCGAGCCAAATTTGGCTCGAAACCCTTTCGGGCTCTGTAGCAGAGCTCATCTCTGCACATTATTCTACGTTTGTTCGGGCAAAATATATTTTTTATATTTTTGTGATATCTATCTATCCATCTATCTATCTATCCATCTATATCTATATTATATATTAAGTAAAAAGAGGTTTTTAACCCCAAATCTTTTGGGAGTTCTAATCTCTCAATCTAAATTTCTTGATTTTTTAATTTAAAAAATAAATAAAATCTTAGCATTTATTAATTTCTCCCAACTCCCAAGCCTTATCCTTATAATAATAGTTTAATGTATTAAGAATAAGCATAAAAAAAATTCTTTAAAATCTAACACATGAATTTTTTGAAAAGTCCCAACACATATGATTATTATCTCTCATAATAACACTTTAATATATTAAAACATATATGATTATTATCAAAATATTAAACTTTAATATAATATAATAATAATAATAAAACATTTAATTCATTGAAAAGTCCAACACATATAATTATTATCAAAATAATAAACTTTAATATAATATAAAAAAAAAAGACATTTAAAAAATTAAAAAAAAAACATTTAAAAATCGCAATTCACATATATAGATAACTGTAAACACAATCCGTGCATAGCACGGGTGATATGCTAGTATAATATAATAAAAAAAACATTTAATTCATTGAAAAGTCCAACACATATGATTATTATCAAAATATTAAACTTTAATATAATATAAAAAAGGAAAAAAAGAAGACATTTAAAAAAAATTAAAAAAGACACATTTAAAAATCGCAATTCACATATATAGATAATTATCTATACTTGTATCTATACTATATATTAAGCAAAAGGGGGTTTTTAACCCCAAGCCTTGTGGAAGTTCCAATCTCCCAATCTAAATTTCTTGATTTTTTGATTTTAAAAAAAAAAATCTAGCATTTATTAACTTCTCCCAACCCCCAAGTCTTACCCGCAAAACTGTAATTTCCAACGTGATGTAATAACTTGTCACTTTGACAGTGTAGGCTGTGCCTACACTGTCACGGCAGTGTACCCTTTTTTTTTCTTTTTTTTTTTTAAGTTTTGCACCTCCGCCTATTGTTCATGCTTTTTGGCTTATATCAAAAATGAAGCTATAATAGCCTGAACTTGTCTTTCCCAAACAGCGCCTATATATTAAGCAAAATGAGATTTTTAACCCCAAATCTTGTGAAAACTCTAATCTCCCAATCTAAATTTTCTAATTTTTTGATTTAAAAAAAAAACCTTAGCATTTGTTAATTTCTCCCAATCCCCATGCCTTTTGGGAGATTTGGTCAAAACCCCCTCATAATTAAATTTTAATGCATTAAAGACCAACATAAACAAAATTTCTTGAAAATTTCAACACATCTATCTATCTATCTATATTATATTACCTATACCTATATCTACATCTATCTATCTACACTATATATTAAGTAAAAGGGAGTTTTTAACCCCAAGGCCTATGGGAGTTTCAATATCCCAATTTAAATTTTCTAAATTTTTTATTTAAAAAAAAAACTCAGCATTTATTAATTTTGTCAAAATTTCCTAATCAGCATTTATTAATTTTTTTCAATCCACATGTCTTTCCACATACCTGCATTTATTGATTTTGTCAAAATGCCTTGATCAGCATTTAAAATCTCCTCATACAAATAATTATAGATACAATCTATGTATAGTTACTGTAGTACCATTTTCAACTTCTCTCATACACTATATTTTAGTGATAAGATTGTTAAATTATTTTTATAAAGAATCTTAAAAAACATAATTTATATATTAAAAAAATTTAAAACAAATATAAATATCTATAATTATCCCGTGCATAGCACGGGTGATAGGCTAGCACTTACTATATATTAAGCAAAAGGGGGTTTTTAACCCAAAGTCTTGTGGGAGTTCCAATCTCCCAATCTAAATTTCCTGATTTTTTGATTTAAAAAAAAAATCTTAGCATTTATTAACTTCTCTCAACTCCCAAGTCTTACCATCATAACACTTTAATGCATTAAGAACAAACATAAAAAAAATTCTTTGAAATCCAACACATATGAATTCTTTGAAAAGTCTCAACTTATATGATTATTATCCCTTATAATAACACTTTAATGCATTAAGAACAAGCATAAAAAAATTCTTTGAAATCTAACACATAAATTCTTTGAAAAGTCTCTCATAATAACACTTTAATGCAATAAGAACAAGCATAAAAAAAAATTTCTTGAAAAGTCTAACACTTATGATTATTTTCAAAATATTAAACTTTAATATAATATAATATAATAATTAAAAAAAAGACATTTAATTCATTAAAAAATCCAATAAATATGATTATTATCAAAATATTAAACTTTAATATAATACAAAAAAAAGAAAAAAAGAAGACATTTAAAAAAAAAGAAAAAGAAAACATTTAAAAATCTCAATTCATATATATAGATAACTAGCCTATCACCCGTGCTATGCACGGGATAATTATAGATATTTATATTTGTTTTAATTTTTTTTAATATATAAATTATGTTTTTTAAGATTTTTTATAAAAATAATTTAATAATCTTATTACTAATCATAGTGTACAGGAGAAATTAAAAAGGCTACTGCAGTAACTATGCACGGGCTGTATCTATAATTATTTGTATAAGAGGATTTTAAATGCTAATCAGGGATTTTGACCAAATCAATAAATGCACGCATATGGATTGGAAAAAGTTAATAAATGCTGATAAGAGAATTTTGACTAAATTTTTTTTTATAATATAATATAATAATAAAAAAAAGACATTTAATTCATTAAAAAGTCAAACACATATGGTTATTATCAAAATATTAAACTTTAATATAATATAAAAATGAAAAAAAGAAGACATTTAAAAAAAAGAAAAAGAAAATATTTAAAAATCCCAATTCACATATATAGATAACTAGCCTATCACCTGTGCTATGCACGAGATAATTATAGATATTTATATTTGTTTTAATTTTTTTTAATATATAAATTATGTTTTATAAGATTTTTTATAAAAATAATTTAACAATCTTATCACTAATCATAGTGTACAGGAGAAATTAAAAAAACTACTGCTGTAACTATGCACGGGCTGTATCTATAATTATTTGTATGAGAGGATTTTAAATGCTAATTAGGGATTTTGACCAAATCAATAAATGCACGTATGTGGATTGGAAAAAGTTAATAAATGCTGATAAGAGAATTTTGACAAAATCAATAAATGTTGAGATTTTTTTTTTTAAATCAAAAATTTAGAAAATTAAGATTGAAAGATTGGAGCTCCCACAAGGCTTGGGGTTTAGAAACCCCCTTTTCCTTAATATATTTACAACTAGCTTATCACCCGTGCTATACACGGGATAATTTTAGATATTTATATTTGTTTTAATTTTTTTTCATATATAAATTATGTTTTTAAAGATTTTTTACAAAAATAATTTAACAATCTTATCACTAACCATAGTGTACAGAAGAAATTAAAAAGGCTACTGCAGTAACTATGCACGTATTTATATTTGTTTTAATTTTTTTTAATATATAAATTATGTTTTTTAAGATTTTTTATAAAAATAATTTAACAATCTTATCACTAACCATAGTGTACAGGAGAAATAAAAAAGGCTACTGTAGTAACTATGTACAGGCTGTATCTATAATTATTTGTATGAAGGGATTTTAAATGCTAATTAGGGACTTTGACCAAATCAATATATGCAGGCATTTAGATTGAAAAAAATTAATAAATGCTGATCAGAGAATTTCGACCAAATCAATAAATGCTGAGATTTTTTTTTTAAATCAAAAATTTAGAAAATTAAGATTGAGAGACTGGAGCTCCCACAAGGTTTGAGGTTTAGAAACCCCCTTTTTCTTAATATATTTACAATTATCTATATATGTGAATCACGATTTTTAATTTTTTTTTTTTCAAATGTCTTCTTTTTTTCCTTTTTTATATTATATTAAAGTTTAATATTTTGATAATAATCATATGTGCTGGACTTTTCAAGAATTTTTTTTTATGCTTGTTATTAATGTATTAAAGTATTATTATGAGGGATAATAATCATATGTGTTAGGACTTTTCAAAGAATTCATGTGTTGGATTTCAAAAAAAAAAATTTATACTTGTTCTTAATGCATTAAAATGTTATTATGAGAGTAAGACGTGGGAGTTGAGAGAAGTTAATAAATGCTAAGGTTTTTTTTTTTTAAATCAAAAAATCAAGAAATTTAGATTAAGAGATTGGAGCTCCCACAAGACTTAGGGTTAAAAACCCCATTTTATGCACAGGATAATTATAGATATTTATATTTGTTTTAATTTATTTTTAATATATAGTTTATATTTTTTAAGATTTTTTATAAAAATAATTTAACAATCTTATCACTAATCATAGTGTATATGAGAAATTAAAAAGATTGCTGCAGTAACTATGCACGGGCTGTATCTATAATTATTTGTATGAGGGGATTTTAAATGCTAATTAGGGATTTTGACCAAATCAATAAATGCAGGGATGTGGATTGGAAAAGGTTA